AAAAAAAAAAAAAAAAAAAAAAAAAAAAAAATTGAGAAGAAATATACAAATAACTTGACAAAACTCTCGTAGTAACGAACTTTCATAATGAGAAGGATATCTCATCGTAAAAAAATAATTCGATCGATCAGTCGCGTTTTTATCAAGAAGAGACTTGCCCGCAATTTTAACGACCTCATTATTGGCCACTAATTGGTTACTGTTCGTTGTCACTAATTTGTTTTTTTTTCTCTCTCTCTCTCTTCTTTCTCTTTTTCTTTTCTTCCTTTTTCTTTTTTTTTCTTTTTTAAATTTTCACATTCGAACGACGAACTCACGTAGCCGTTACGCATTACTCTAACGAGTCAATTAATTAAACAAAAATTGCATCTTTTCGTTGATAATATTTCAACTCTTTTCGTCGTAGAATTAATTCCACAATCTACGATTTGAATTTTTCTTTTTTTTTTTTCTTTTCGAAAAATTATCCGTTACGGTTAAGATGACGTTGTGTTTGCGTTAGTAAAACAAAAAAAAAATAAAAGGAAACAGAAATTGCATAACATTTTCTTGAGAGAGAGAGAGAGAGAGAGAAAAAAAAATAAAAAAAAATAAAAAAGAAAAAGAAGATGAAAAAAAAATCTTTTCATTCGTTTTCCATTCGCTCTCGCGTTTCTTCTTTCTCACGACTCTTCACATTTCTTACCCGGCCTTTCCCAATCGGAAATCAATAGCGACACTGCCGTAACAAGCCCATTGTTTCCGGTCACCCACGAGTACAACTCAAAAACGAATAACTTTTGATTTTATTTATGTAATTATTATCATCGATGATGATTCTCAAAGAAATACATGATCTTACAACCGAAATGATAAAGTAATCGATACATTTAAAAATCATTTGTCAAATCGATTAACTTTAATAAACAAAATGCTTTAACTAAGAGGGTTGAAAAGTTTCGAAGCTTCGACAGAAAAAAAACCAAACTTTTTCTTTTTTAAATAAAAATTATTCAACAAATCCCAAGTATGTTGTTTGTATTCAATGGCCATGAATTTAACAACATATTATTATGTATAATTATTTTCGAGAAAATTGTATTCAACACGTATATGTATATTATAAAAATTATTATTAATTAGCAAATATATAATACTTAGATGGCACAATTAATACCAATATTTTTTGTTAAGTAAACTCAATTACTTTTTACTCGTAAATAAATCATATTTACTTAACGTTTAACGTATCACTAATAAATAAAACGATCGATATCAAATTTGAAATGAAAATTTAGCATTTAATAACTTTACTGTTTTATTTCATTCGAATGTTATCGATAATTATAATGATAAATATAATGATCAATCAAATTCTTTTTTAATTTACAATTAAAAAATCACAATGTATCAAATTAATTTATTTATCTGTATTCGATTATAAAAAAAAACAAACAAAAAACAAAAAAAGTAAATATAATATTTCTTCAAGTAAATCGTTCATTTGATTTCACATCAAACGAAAGTACGAAAACGCCGAAAGCGTTTAAATATACATCGACGAACCTTTTTTCTACAAAAATCAAACAAAAAGTTAAAGAAAAAAACAATTTTGATGATCAGACACGAACATTATAAGTTTCCCCGCGTGTTAACAAGAAAAACTAAGGATAAATACGTTTTCACCGATGAATTATATAATATTTGCCTCGAGGAAATTTATGACGAGAGCTTGCGTTATATTTCTTACGATAAGTTTTTTGTTTTTCCTTCTTTTATTTTTCCTTTTTCCTATTTTCCTCTTCAAAAATAAGATGGTAGAAAAGTAAATGCAAAGTTGGTTGAATGCAGCCAAAGAGATATCCACTTAAGTATCTCTTCTTATACTTATATCGAATTTTTATTAAGAATTCTAAACGGAGGGGAAAGAAAAAAAAAAAAAAGAAAATAAATAAATAAAGAAATGAAACAATATTTAAATTCCACGGTGTAAAATGAAACGATTGAGAAATTAAACTGACGTGTTAAATACTTGCGCGTTGTAATTAAAAATGTGAAAACAACAAAAGAAAAAAAAAAAAAGAACGAAAAAAAGAAAAGAAATAAGAAGAAGAAGAAGAAGAAGAAAGAAAAATTTGGTAAAAATGTAACGAAGAAAGGCGTGGCAACGTTCATCGTACCTTAACACCAATGCCAATGTGCCAATGTCAGGGTCTTCCGCGGTCAACAACCCCTGAGTGTTACAACCCCTTTGGTAGACTAAAAAAACTCTACAACGCACTCTACTTTCTTCAAGAACAAACTTATCTTTTCGAGATAAAATCAATTGTATATTAAACAAGAATATTGTTACCATCTGTTGACTCTAGTAACATACACATACACGGTAAATGCAGGTGTACAATTATTACGTTCCTGTTATACCACGTGTAAAATAGGTAAGGTAGAAATCTATAATTTTGCGATAAGAGGGGTTACTTTTAGTCTTACCGACCAAGGGATTTTCAACCCTTAATTATCTTCAGTTATCTGAACCTACCAAACTTCTTTACCGACTATTAACCAAACGAATTATTTAAAAAGATAAACAAATACGTGCAAATCGTTTGGAAAGCAAAAAAAAAAGAAAACAAAAAGCAATGGATAATAAACTTACTTTCTGTTTGTCGATGAGCTGCATGATTTCGTCGACATCGCCGACAACCACTGCTTGCTGTCGTAGCATCTCTTCCTCGACGATAAGCCAATCACGTATCTAGAAGATAAAGAAAAAGAAAAAAAAAGAAGAAAATCATCTACAATCAAAAATAATGATTATAATTTTTTAATACGAATTTATATGAACAACGTTCGATCGATAAAATATCATCCTTCACGTAATTTAGCAATATTTTGTGAAACTTAAAACAATAATATGTTTACAAGTAATAATAACACTAAAGTCATTTTAAATTATCGATAACGACAATATTAAAACATCGTAATATTGAATAGAAAATTTGAACCCTTTGTTCTCGAATAATTTAATATAATAATCCATTTATAATATAAGAATAATTTAATATGAAGCACGTAGCAAGATCGTGAGAAAAATATAGTTATCAAAGTGATGGAAAGTACATCAGACAAAAAATAAAAATAAGAAAGAGAGGAAGAGAGAGAGAGAGGAAAATTCGGTTGAGTAGTTTTCGATCAGTCACACACTTTAATAACAGTTATCGATCAAAGACCAGTGTTATATTGGTTCGACGATGAAAGCTCACTGATTGCAAAACATGAGAGAAATATTCGTTCGTTCAAGAGCACGAAAGCGCCCTTAAATGAGATGGAAAAAAGAACGGGGGGGTGGGAAACGAGGGAGAAACATAGTCAGTTAGTAGAGGTGGGAAAAGTGGTGATTAGGGGGATGTACACGAGGAAAGGGACTATGTAAAAGATGGAACATCACGAGAAACCGGAATTGGGGTGTTTGCTGCCGGAAATTAGCTGGGAGTGACCGTTCGTAAAAGGCCAACTTCGATTTGCTATTTCTAACACAACGTGGAATTTCAAACTCGGATGAAGGATCAAAGATGTTAGTATAGGTGGTATTTATATGTATATATGTATGATTGTGTTGGTTAAATAATCGATCCACGTTGACATATATTTGATGTCTCGAACGATGTTACAGTTACCTTGATGAATCTGTTAACCTTTCTAAAAAGACTCTTTACCACGAACCCTTTGTCATTTCTTATCGACATTTGTTTTTATCTATTAGAAAAAGAGGATAAGTCGAGTAAGATATCAATTATATCACTTCCCCCGATGAAAAATAATTTCATTATTAAAAAGAAAATGAAAAATCCATATTGAAGAAAAAAAAATACGTATCGAAATTTTGAATAGTATTATTGACATCTTTCAGATTGCCAAATAATATTGTTAGAATTTGTAAAATAAATTGGCAAACGCGTATGAGCTTATATTTTGATAGAAATGAAAAAAGACCCCCCACATGAAAATATAATCAAAGTTTTACGAAAAAAAAAAAAAAACGTACAATCATTCACGATTTCATCGCAATACAAAAATACGATTGGATTGATCGATCATCAGTTAGAAATATAAAAAAAAAAAATAAAAAACAGCCAAAAATATAGGAGGGACAAAAATCAGTGGACGTTTTCACATTGAAACACTCGCCAGTAGAAATTGTAGGGGATGATGTTTTTTTCTTTGATTGTGTAAAAAAAAAAAGAAAAAGAAATGTATTTGACGATAAGCTTAAGAGAAAAAAAAATCGATAAATCGTACGAGAAAGGGATCAACCAAGGAATGTTAGAAAAAAAATAAAAGTCTCGATGTTTCGCTAGAAACATTCGAAACGTGTTAGAGTATCAAGTTTATAATAATCCTCTCTGTGTTGTTTAGAAACATCGTTACACGTGTTGCGTTACCGGGTGTGTCTTACTCGACATCGATCAACCCAAAAAAAAAAAAAGAAAAAAAAATAAGAAAATGAAAGCATAGCAAACACGTTGGCACAACAGTCTGTATTTCGCCTAACAGTAAAATACGATCGCAAAAATTATCGCTAACGACGGGGCTTTATTTTTTTTTTTTTTTTTTTTTTTTTTTTTTTTTTTTTTTTTTTAAAAACGAAGACGAATGGAAACGTTCGCGTATCACTATGAAATATCACGATATAAACGATCAAATATATCTACAACGGTGTAGTAGTATACCGTACGTGTTGTTTGGTAAAACATTTATATTTCCCAGACACCAAGCTACTATTTTTTTTTTCCCGAACATCCACCATATTTCACTTCTATGGTCGAGAGATAGATAGAAAGTTATAGAAAAAAAAAGTCACAAAAATATACAACCATTTGCTCTTTGCCACGTTTCAACTCTCCTGCATTGGCAAAAAAAAAAAAAAAAGAACCGAAAGAGAAAAAGAAACAACAAATGTGAACGAAAAAAAATGAGAAAAGAATTAAAAATAAAAACCAAATATACGATTGTATTTAAAAATAATATATATATATTTGATAAATATAATATTAAAATGAAAAACTTTGCATTTTTTTAAGAATACGTTGCCGGAAAGAAATATAAAAAAAAAAAAAAAAAAAAAAAAAAGAGTAATAATGCAGTGAGATTTAATAGTTTTTTTTTTTTTTTCAATACATTTCAAAAATATTAAAATAAACGACATACGTGAGAGATAAAGGAACAGAAAAAGAATTATTTTGCTAACGTTCGTAAAAGTAAAAAAAAAACAAAATAGCCACATTAAGCACTTTTTCTCTTATAATTTTTATTTCTCTCAAGTCAACGATAAAAATAGTCGATAAAAGCGCGGACATTTTGTCGTCCCTCGAGGACGATAAACACACTAGAAAGTTCGTGCATCGAAGACGCACTTTGAGTAAACTTCTCAACTCAACTCCGAGCTTGAAGTGTACCAAATGGGTCCATCGAGCTTTTACTTTCGTCCTGTCTATTTAACTAGACTTTCTCTTTCTCTATTTATCTATCTATCTATCTATCTTTCTAACCATTTCTTATATATATATATATATACCCACGAGCAACCGTACCGAGGAATAAAAAGTTTCATTCAAAGGTATTTTGTTAAACTATCCATTAAATTCTACGTTAATTTCAACCGAGGATTACCCTCTGCCCTTATCCTTCCTCAACTATTGTACTAATTAGCCAATAATTATCTCATTGAGTACTGGCTAGTTCTCTTACAAGTTTCCAGACAAAACAAGAAAAAAAATAAAAGATTAGAAAAATTTGGAAGGAAAAAAAGAACTATTTTAGTTCGAATTACTTTTATAATTGAAGACTTTAGTAACTCGCTCTGTTTATGTTGAAATCTAATAAAATCGATTGTACCAGTCGAGCTTTTATAAATCAAAGTAGAATATTAAATATGTTCAATGATATGTAATTTTATGATTTAACGAAAATTTGTTTCATTATTTCTCGTTTATTTCTACACGAAATAACGACTATTGTATTAATTAATCGATAATTGTTTCAATTATATTATGTCACTCTGTACGGAATTAACAAAAAAAAAATAAACAAAAACGAATTGTAAATTACGTGGTAAATCAATTTTTTGTAATAAATTTGTTTGTTCATCAATCAACCACTGTCACTAATAAATACAAACAAAATGATTTTATTCAAAACAATTTGCATTAATATTATCTATAAAAGTAAACGAACGAACGAACGAAAAATTCACAAACGAATAGAAACA